AGCGGTTCGATGGTTCAATTGGTCCAACTGGTTGGACCGGTCTGAAAAACCGGAAAAACCTGATGATGTCATAATTACATTATTATTAATTTTAATAATATAAAAATACAAAAAGTGAAACAAAAGTTTTTTAAAAATCCTGGTTTTGTCGGTTCACATGACGGATGGTTTTTTGGCCTTTAAGAATCGGTTTCGGGGTCGGTTCCCGGTTAAATCGGCTGGTTCGGTCTGGTTTCAATACATAGGATGTGAACACAAGCTATAAAAAAGAAGAATTTCATATCATTGTTCTCAAATATTTAAGGGCAAATTACAAGAAAGTCATTATATTACCACGAAATTTCGATTTTGACACCGTGTTATTTTTTTAGCAGTTATGTCAATATATTTACAATTTTGTTGCAATATCAACCAAATGACCGGTTCTCCCTGTTCTCCTGGTAACCACTTTTCACGAATTGCAATAAAATCACTAAGTTTACCAAATTTCGATTTTGACACCGAGTTTGAAATTGCAAGAAAGTCACTATATTACCATAAAATTTTCATTTTGACACCGTGTTTTTTTCTCAATTATGTTATTACATTTACAATTTTGTTGCAATGTCAACCAATTGGCCGATTCAGGAGATGTTATTGTGGTTTAGAAGCTTGATTTTAGAAGCTCGATTTATACAACACATAAATAAAGGTTGGTCCAATGGTGTAAACTCACTTACAAGTCAGCGAAAAGGGTATTGTCAACCTATCAGGAGATGCTATTGTGGTTTAGAAGGTCGATTTGTATAACAAGTAAATGAAGACCCCTATCAGGTCGATTTTTACAACAAATAAATGAATACCCTTATAAGGTCGATTTATTTGTACAACAAATAAATTAATTGTTGAGTTTTTATTAAAAAAAATAGTCTAAAATATATAGTCAAAACTACGAGTTTAGCAACAAAAATAATTTTATGTTTGAATAAACTAAAATTTTTTTACCCACCAATGATCATTTTTCAAGACTTAGAATGATTAAAACAATCATAGAAAGTTAAGTGATACAACCTTTGGAGAATTTGATTCTCATGGGAGATTGGAAGTTGATGAAGTGTGACATTAAGCTCTAAAATAAGGTCTCTATAATGTATCCACCAAGGCAAGATTAAACCACCAAAATATGCTAGTATACACTTGTATAAAGTTGTTCTTAAGCATTAAGACTTATACCAAATAATTTCTTAAAGAGAAGCAACTTTAGAACCTTCATTTCTAGCACCAAATGGAAGAAAGAAGAAGAGAATGAGAAGCTTAGAATTTACGAAGATTGGAAGCCAATTGAGTGGTTTCTAGTGAGCAAAAGACCAAAAAACTCCTCATCTAAAGCATTTCAAATATAGGGTTTGCATCGAACCCACTTTCACATATCTTTTTAGGTCGATCTAATGGTTCAAAGCCACTTAAAAGTCAACGAAAATGGCGTACTCACCCTTTTAGGTGAAACTTTTTATTATAATGTTTAATGTTTAATTCTCGTGAGAGTATTTCTTCACATATGACATCTAAAGGTCAATCTAGTGGTTCAAACTCATTTAAATGTCAGTGAAAAGGCGTACTCACCCTTTCGGTGGATGCTATTGTGGTTTAGAAGCTGAATTTGTACAACAAGTAAATGAGGACCCCTACAATGTCGATCTAGGAAATGCATAGTGAGTTTGAACCACTAAATCGACCTTATATGGGTCTGTATTTACTTGTTGTACAAATCGAACTTCTAAACCACAATAACATCTACTGAAAGGGTGACTATACCCTTTTCACCGATTTTTAATTGAGTTCGAACCATTAAACCGACCTTCGTTTATTTGTTGTACAAATCACGCTTCTAAACCATAATAACATCTCATGAATCGGTCAATTGGTTGACATTGCAACAAAACTGTAAATGTAATGACATATTTGAGAAAAAAAACTCAGTGTCAAAATCGAAATTTTGTGGTAATATAGTGACTTTCTTGCAAATTTAAACTCGGTGTTAAAATCAAAATTTTGGTAAACTTAGTGACTTTATTGCAAATTGGGAAAAGTGATTACTGGAAGAACTGGTCATTTGATTGATATTGCAACAAAATTGTAAATATAATGAGATAATTGCAAAAAACAATAACTCAGTGTTAAAATCGATTTTTTTTGGTAATATAGTGACTATTTTGCAATTTGCTCAATATTTAAATATCATATTTATTCAGGATCATTTCTAAATTATCATATTTATTATTTATATAATTTTGAAATACCAAATATGCCTAAATATTTATTTTTAATATTTTAAAAAATTTTATAAATATTTTAAATGTTTATTTTTAACAAATTACTATTATACCACTTGTTTAAAGTTTCTAAATTGAATGAATTGAATAATGAAACTAATTTCACCCCTCAATAGAATATAATAACTTACAATCTAATTATCCTTTCTTTCTAAACAAAAAAACTGATTAAATTTGTTACATTTATCAATATCATTGCATCAATACGAAACTTCTAACCATTAATTTGATTTTTGGTTTTTTGTTTGTTCAATTGATTTGGTGAAGAATATAATAACTTAGATGGAATTTTAATTTTATGATTGTGATTTGAATTTATAGATGTCGAAGGAACATGTTTACATTTCTGCATTTAAGGATTCTTGGAACTTTGTCTGTGCAGTGAGTAATTTCGTCACTGTTGCGTTTCTTGGTAGTTAATCTTCAAATCATTTAGAGAAAGTTGCCTCTCGTGTATGAAAGGGGATTAAAAAACAATAGACGAGAGATGAAATGGAATTTGCAAATCATTACTAGAACATAAGAGGACCAGAACCCTGTGAATCAATATACAAGTGATGTGATGGTTGGAGACGAAACCGATGAACAAACTGTCGGAGATGACGCGACGATAGACATTAGAGAAGACTAACAACAATGAGGGTTATATTTTCAACTTATATTTATAGTATGGGTATAATAGTCATTTGATAGAAATAAAGATTTAAAATGATTATAAAATAATTATACAATGTTTAAAAGTATTAAAACAAGGATTTTAAAAGCTTAAAAAGGGTTAATATGATATTTAGAAATTAGGTTCCATAAATATAATATTTTGTTATTTAACAACATATACACAATTCTCACAATATAAAATCAACATTCTCCATTTTGTCTTTTTAGAAATTAGGTTGGGCAATGTAACTGTGTTTCGGTAGATTAGCTAAAAACTAGTTTTAGTTGAAAAAAATAGTTTTGACCCGATAAGTTAACTATTGTTGATAAAGTAATAACGTTTGGTAATACTAATTAATAAACTGAAAATGTAATATGATATTACGATAAGTGGCGGATGCAGTGTGTAATAAGTGGGGTCCATGGACCCCCCTTGAAATTGATTTTCACCATATATATACATCTTCATTTTGGTAATTAGATACAAGGTTCTATATTTGGCACCCACTATCAAGATATGAAATATTATAAACTTCTTTAATTTTTCTTTCTTTTCTCCCTCTATACTAATTATTCCCTTCTTTTTCCCTCTGGTTGCTAAACTGCCGCCGTCGACGGAGTTAGAACCGACAACCGACACCGCCCCTGTTCATTTCTAAGTCGCTAATGAGTAAGGTATAAAATGGACCCCGATTGAGTTTAGTTCTGGCTCCGCCACTGATTACGATATATTTGGAAAAGTTTTGGAAAACACCTACAACCTTGTAATCTTGACAAATACTTGAACCAACCGAAAGATCCAAATAGGTGAAAGAAACTAAGGAAGCTTGTCCGGTTTACATCCCGTGACACCACCATCATTTAAACCTCATGAAAATCGACCCCCATTCTAAACAAACTCAATATATTAATATTTAATTTTAGGCTTGAAACACTGTAAAACCAAATCAATAACCGGACATACCCCCTAATATTGGCCCAAGACCGATTACCCAAAAAAAACGCATCATCTACATAGAAAAGATGTAAAACCTGCAGAGACCCACCTATGCACCACCAAAATAACATATTTAAGAAACCTATTTTCTTAAAGTTTCAATGTACATACACAGTTTGACTTGGAATACCCGATTTTCAAGGTGCGTCTGTCTACGTGGACAACCGCAGCCCCGTATAAATGGTAGGTTGGGCCAATGGCTCCCACTGATCAAGGGTATCCGTATTCTTCTTCAAATTCTTCATTTGAGCCATTCTTCAAATTTATTGTGTTTGCCTTGGGTATGATTACTTTATATTTCACATGAATTGAAACCACTAAAATCAATATGTAAAACGGAGGGTGTACATACACATATTTTGACCCCAAACTTAATATACCAACACTATGGTTATGTCTTATGTGCATGTGCCGAAATAAACATAAAATTAGTAAACAATATGACTTCATAATTCAAACCTCAAACTAAAAGTGATAACATTTGTTTCATTATTAAAAGCACATTTTTTTTAATTAAAGTTCACGACCTTTTCACCGGTTGATTACAGTTTTTGGTGACAACTCTTTTTCTTATTAGAATTATTTGCTAACTACAAACTCTATACATCTCATCCTTACTCATTGCTCGCTATATATTTATAAACTTAATGTTATCTTCGTTGGCTTATTGCCCATCAATTACATTTTAATTTCAAAAATATATTTGCAAACATAATATAAAATTAAGAGTTAAATAGCAATCTAATTTCATTCCACGACCATTTCATAATATTAAATTATATATGCAAACATAATATATGCCCTATTTTAATGTAAAAGATTGTGATATTTTATATAGATAAGATTTTATATTGTAGTTTAAACCTTTACTTAACAAGATTGTATTAGATGCATATGAGATGCAAGTGCAAAATTGCCTTTCATGTGGAATACCTATATAATCATCAACTTGCATTCAAACACACATAAACAAGGATAGTTTTCAAGGGTAGAAAAGGGAAAGACTACAAAAGATACAAAATTTCTATTGTTAAATATCATTATCTATTATATTTTACAACCATAGTTGTTAGCATCTAACCACAAATCACAATTGGCACATTAAAAGGTAAAACATGTAAAACACATTCCATGTTCAAAACAACAAACAATATTATCTTTATTTTGCTAGTTGCTCATGAAAAGGAACTTTACTCCAAGTTTCATCTATCCCACTAACTTGCAAAGGCGGCAATGAAAACACACTAACCGTAGAACTTTTACTGCGAATTTCCTTTAACGCCCTCAAAGCCGAAATAGTACTCTTTGTGTACAAACTCTTCATGTACTCAAGCTCAGCAAGCTCTTTAGCTTTCAACGGCCCTTCACTGGCCGCAACACTGGTGGTAGGCTCATTACCACCAGTGTTGTCATCGCCAGTTCCATCAGCAGATGGAACTGGCGATTCGATTAGTGGGAAGTGGCGGTCGAGCATCGCCTCACATTCCTTCACTAGCTTGTAAAGCAAGTCGGTTGTGAAAAATGGTTGTTGCAGGACTTTTTGAATGAAAGGTAAACGTAAGAGTGCGCCTGTTCTTTTATCGTACTTTTTCAGTATTTTGACTATTCCTGTATGAAATAGTACATGATTTAACTTTAATATCTTTAAAGTTATTTATTGAACTGTGTATTTAAGTACAAAGTACAAGGTACAAAAAGTACCTGTGTAGTTAAGTAAAGTACCTGTGTAGTTAAGTGCGCTATAGTTTTCTAATAAAACCATCTCTCCGTGAAAATCGACTATTTCTTTTCGGATTTTGATCATCTCTTCGTGTGAATCTTGGGATTTCATTAAACTATCTTGTAATTCCTGTATTACGAAACAAAAATAAATAAATAAATAAATAAAAGGTTGACTTGAAATGATGTTTTTGACTTATGATATTGACTCTTGTGTATCATATCCACCACTTCAGAGGACTGAAGGGTTGTTTTTTTGTGGTTGAGAATATAAAGAATAAAAGAATATTTTAAAAAGGACAACAGCCACTCTCTAAGTGTTAAGTGAAGTTCGCTTTTGAGATTGTGTAATGGGAGATTTATAATATTCCATCAGTCAATTTACTATCACTTAGATATTCTTCACCACAATAAGAAAGTCTTGATATTCGATAACAATACTATTAATTCTTGATAAGATAAGAATGGACAAATGCAATTTTAATATTCCAAGAAACTGGAAAGGTATAATTCTCTAGTGGACATTTTGATCAAGAATAGCAAGTGATATGAGATTTATGCATATGCCAGAGAAAGTTTTGGCCTTTCTTTGTATAAACAAAAGCTGAAATTTCAAAAATTGCAACTAGTGGAAACAAATAGTAACATAACAGATACACTTATGTAATATGAATGCAAACAAAGTTATTACAAGTACTGTTTCTGATAGTATGTAGTGATATAATCATATAAACACATTAAGTAAAATGATTTGTTCTTATATTGATCTGGTTTTAGACATAGATAAAATGTACACACAGTCTATCTTTAATGTTACTTGAAGGATGCATAGCAGCTAGAATGGAAACAAGTAAGAGGATTTTGTTTGTTGTTAATTGTTATTGTTCTTGATAAGATCATGAATCCAAACTCTAGCATCGTCATGTTCATAGTTCATAGTTCATAAAATACACTACTGAGAACATACTTGCAAAACATGAGCTACTGAATCATAGAAGATGTTCAAAATATCACCGAGCTAGGTTTTGAATCTGAGATGGTCATGGCATAAAAACAACTAATTTTCGTATAAAGTATAAACACAGATTAACAAGAGCAACGTAGTTGAACAGATCTATTAATAAGAAAAATGGAACCCAGATTCAATACCTTCAATTTGATGATATACTCTTCTTCTTTCTCAACAAAGAAGGAATTGAATTTCTCGACTTCCTGTTCCAGCAACTCAAGGAAATCAACTTCTTCGCTCGACATCTCTACACCACCAGCAATCGAACAGTCTTCGCATGAAATCCTGGTCCTCTTAGCTGGTCTGTTGCAGTCATCACCGGATTTGTCTTGAGGTTTAATAAGCTTCAACCGCTTTTTGAGTTCTTTGTAGGACAGGAACTTGTCTCTCCATTCGGGCAGAGTTTCCTCGATTTGATTGCTTAAGCTCTTTCCGAATTTCATGATTCTTGTTGAATGAGTCTCGATTCGTTGAAAGAAGATGATGCGGAGGAGGAGAAGGGGGAGGAGGAGGAGTACGGGAGAGGAAGGAGGAATATAAGTTGGAAGGGGAAGAATATGCGGAGGAGGGAAAAGGCATATTCTGGAGAATATTTCCGGTTTTATTCTCCGGGAACAGAGAGAAAATGACGGTGGTGGCTTCAAGTCGACGCTACTTCTTTTTTCTTGATTATTTTTGGCTAGCTAACTAATTTTTAGAGGAGTTTAAGCATGACAAATTAAAATAGCATAAACAATGCATAATAATCCATTGTTAGGATAAATAACAAAATTTAAATTTATATAGATAAATAAAAAAATAAAAACCAGCCATTGAATTAATATTTTCCAACCCGGGTCAATCCGGTCGGTCGAAACAGTTAGATCTTGAACCGATGAAAAGACCAGATCAACTAAAAACGATTTTTGGCCTATATATGAACCGAATTTATATGAACCGAATTAAACTGGTCGGTTTTATTATAAAACTGGATGAACCGTTTACCCGGCTCGTTACAAAAATCAAGTTTAACATAATAAAAAAAATATCACAAGGTTACATACTTATATTTATCTTCTATTATTGTCAACAACATTGGACATATTCATAACTTATAATTATAATTTAAAAAAAAAAAAAAAAAAATTGTTGTGAAACAAAAATCAAGCGATTTTTGATTTAATATTTCCTTGTTTTTTTATTTCCATTCACTATTTTATATGTCCTATGTTAGAGCCCATTATTTTTGTTATTTGAAACATCAATTTTTTCATGTTAAGTAACAACTTTATTAAATTTACATATTTTATTTCAGTAAACAGTAGAGATTTGACGGATTCAGGGTGTTAAGTAATTGGATTCAAAGTGTTAGGTAATGTATTGATGACACCTGTAACACCTAGTTCGTGGTACGTTTTTATTTGTCAAGTTGATTATCTTTACAAGATTTGGGGGTTGAAATTGGGCTTGGCATGACGTGTTCATTCTTGCACGCTGAGTGTGTGCGTCACGATAGATATTTCTTTGGTCGAGATGTGTCCTAGTTGGCAGCCGAAACCCTAATGTTTGGGCCTTGAGCCTTGTTTAATGGCTATAACTCCTAGGGTTCCTTATTTTGTACAATCTCCTCACTCCAGAGACCCTAGAGAGCAAACCTGTAACGCCCACAGATTCGGGCTAGTCAATTTAGAAACAATGAGCGTCAAAAATGACTTTTTGATGGAAGATTATTTAGAATGAATAATCTTAACCGAGTTATAGTATATGTCACAAGGGTTTCGTATACATAAAGAACGTCGAAATCCGAGTTATAACGAAGAAGTTATGATACGTTGAAGTTTTACGGCTAAACCGGCACGGAACCATGTAACGTAAAAAGTGAATTTTTGATCAATTACTTTTTAGCCTTAGGGATCTAAACAAAAGTCGTAGTATATGTTAAACCGAGAGCGTGCATAAAAAGAACGTCTAAATCTAACTTCGTATGACGAAGTTATGATTTTTCTAAGATTTGGCATAGCAGTGCACAACCCGGAATTCGAATTTTAGATCGATCGGTTTTTAGCCGACACAACCTAAATGAGAATTGAAGATCTCATTAATAGGAGTTGAACGATAAAAAGACAATAGAAAACGGAGTCCGTATGTAGAAGTTATGAATTCTACACGGTCGTTAACAGTGTAATCTTCTCATACTGTTCAATTTAAAATTGGCCGAGAATTAACCGATGGAGTCAAAAGAAGAGTTGTAGATATTGTCAATACCTACGCGTGGATATAAAGAACGTCGGAAACGGAGCACGTATACGAAAGTTAAGGAATTTAGAAGTCGGAAGGGTGCTGCTGCGAAGTGGGTGACGTGGCGCGATCTGAGTCATTGATTTCTCCCCACGCCTTGCCACCAGATGGTGACATGTGGCACCAACTCGAAGATCTAGAGGCCAAAACTCGACGAGTTTGACCCAATTCCAGCCTATAAATACCATGCGAGAGTGCCTTCATTTTTCACACCAAAACCCCTTCACTTCTTTCTCTAACTTCTCTCTAAGCCTCCCAAAACCCTCCCAAAGCCCTAGTAACCTCAAGGTGCTAGAGGAAAAGCCCCAGAGCGCTAGAAGGCTCCGAGAAGAAGAGATTTCGGCTCAGAAGTTCTGCCCGCGCAGAGCCCGGTTCTTCGCTAAACCTCCCGGTAAGTGAGTTATGCTTACCCTACTTCAAGTATAGCTTATGTTTAAGTTCAATATCGTTATTATGAACTTATAAAAAAATAATATATTATAACATATCATATATAAAGTGTTATTATAATATTTTTTTAACTACTCGCGGTATGGGGAATCTGGTTTAAAGGGTCGCATAGGGTTGTTGGATTTCAGAAGTGCTATATGCCAAAATGGTCCTGCCCTCCGGTGTTTTATGTCTGGCCCCTGTCTGTACATAGTGGTTGAAAAGTATTGTTTAACAATTATAATAATAACATTCGTAATTAGTCGTAATAAACATTAGACTAAAATCTAGCGGTAATGATACTAGGTTTCGTCGAATGAAACTAGAATTGTTAGAAGCGAAGCACTGCCCGAGTTTGGAATCATCACTTTAACAAGTGAGTGCATAGTTACTTTCATCTTACACATAGATATGAAGTATTTAATATAAATTACGTGCTATGTGTGCATATTATCTGTGTTCTTGATATCTATGTTGGATGAACGATTTATACATGTTTTAAATGATTTAAATTGTATAAATTACGTGCTATGTGTGCATATTATATGTATTTTATATCTACGAATACATGGGTAGAAATACGATGAGGGATGAAAGATGTTATAGATAAGAAGAGATGAAGAATGATAATGAGAAGTGAGAGATGATGAGAAGCCTTGACCCAAGCGTTGGCCCAGTCATCTAGCAGAGTATAAATGACAATCATGGACTATTCTAGACAGTCCGGTGGAACACTTGCAGGCTCGCAACCTGTAGGTTTTGTGAACGATATGTTCACCCAGTGTACTCTAAATACCCTAGAAGCTATGGACATAGTGCCTCATACACGAACATTTGGCAGCTATAGACTTAGTGCCTTATAAATGAACCGTTGGTAGCTATGGATTTAGTACCCTACAGATGAACATTGGTAGCTATGGATTTAGTACCTTACAGATGAACCTTGGCAGCTATGGACTTAGTGTCCGTTAAATAAACCCTGACAGCGATGGACTTCGTGCCTATTTCTTAGGAAAATCCTTATGAATGAATGAGTGGATGATAGATGATTCTTAGGGTAGATCCTTAAGAACTAAAGAAGATAATGGAAATGGGTAATTGGGTTAATTGTTTGCTGATGAAACATAATAACTTTATTATTGTGGGTTGAAAACCCTATGTACTCACCGGGTTTCGCAACCTGACCCATTCAGTTTATTTGTATCACATGTGTCGATATGAAGCTACATTACACTCAGAGATTAAAGGAGATGTAAATCACTAGTGTAAATGAATGTAAGGTCTATTTATGCTTATGTTTTTGTATTGACGATAACTTCGCAAAGTTTTTATTTAAACAAAATACATTTCTTCGGAAATGCTTTGATAATATATTTATCATGTTTTTCTGGGAACAAATTCCGCAATATTATTCTTTAAAATGAATACTCTGATTTTCGAATAAGCATAAATAAAATTTTAAAATGGCCGTGAAACTACAAGAAAAACAGCCTTTTACGACACGCAATGCGTGTCAAGGAAGGCCCTGTCATAACGAAAGACGACACGCTTTTGCGCGTCGTCTATTTACGACATGCATTTACGACGTGCAGTTACGACACACATTTACGACGCTCATTTACGACACGCAATGCGTATCAAGGAAGACCCTGTCATAAAGAAGACGACACGCATTTGCGTGTCGTAACCTTACGACGCGCATTTACGACTCGCATTGCGTATCATTAAAGCCCCTGTCAAGAAAGACCATGTCATAAATGAAGATGACACACATTTTTGCGTATCGTAATTTTAAATGTTTAAAAAAATATTATTTATAGATTTACTAATTTTCAAATTAAATTTTCATTTAATGTCTCATAATAGAAAATAAAATATCATATACAAAAAATACAATCCATTGCATAAAATTTAATGTCATACAAATAATCGTTCCATGGAAAGATAAAACAAATCAATAGAAGTTGTAACAAAAATTACAAACTAATTAGGTACAAGAAATATGAAAAACTTGAAATCCCTGAGATTAATAGTTCTAACAGAAGCTTCACGTGAGATACATACAGTTGGACCAGTAAGCAAGGATGTTCCCGAATCCACAATAGCAGCACTACACGATATCTTCTGCTAGAAGGTGTCGATCCAAAACTACTGTTGAAGGTTGCCATGATAGTTGTTAAGATTTAAGCATAACAAGAAACCAATCAGTGACTATAATAAGCTAGAAAACAAGCAACTAATAAACTAAATAAGCAACTAATTAAGTCAGTTTCGAACATTGCATATAAGATACTGTACAATCATGTTTACAGTAAACTTTAAAGAATTTACAAGTTTAAACTCAAAACAAACATATGCACAACAATGATATAAATTTATAATGTTTTGTCATTTAGAATTTACATTTGAAGAGAATGGTAAAATGTTGATTTATTGTTGTTCATACAAAACTCTCCAGACAACACTTAATTGAAGAAAATAACAAGGCCAAACTTACAAGAAAAAGAAGGAAAAAATAGTTTTAAGTGTAAATTTGAAGATAAAGTCAGCTGCACCCCAGTATGAATTTGAAGATAAAGTCACCTGCACCCCATTCTCGAGTTGACACATGTTATTCCATCTGTTGATGAGACTTCAGTAATTGATCAATCTTTGTCTCCTTATGATTCACCAATCATGTTCTTCTATAAGACATGGGACCCGTATGGGAGTTTCTCCAACTTTTATCGTCATCCAATTAGAATGCCTGATAAAAGTGGTGATTATGTTACTTGGTTAAGTTTAGAGCACTATTATCAGGTACTTGAGTAGAGTTTCAAAGTATAAAATATGAAAGTTAGATTTGTTAACTTACTCTTCTTCAAATGACCTTTTTACCATTACATGAAAATTAAGGAACACAAACCTCAGATACCAATCTTTGTCTTCCTTTAATATCAGCAGTTAAAGCACGCCAATC